AGGATTGCTTGAGCCCAGGAGTTTGAGGTTGCTGTGAGCTAGGCTAACGCCACGGCACTCACTCTAGCCAGAGCAACAGAGTGAGACTGTCTCAAAAAAAAAAAAAAAAAATCAATTAAGCTACCTTTCTGTGGACGTGCGTGTTGAATAGATAAGTTTGATAACATTACCAAGCGAGAGTAAAGGAAACAGTTTACAAAGGAGGCCTTTCTTCTCCGTGCTAGAGCCTGTTGGTAATTGAGAACAGGCGTGGGACAGAGGAAATTGTCAGATCCGCCTGGGCTGGATACTAACTTTTGTTTTGCCTCCCTCTTGTATCAATAGCTACATTCCAAAAGACAACAGCCTTCAGTCGGAGACTGTGCACTACAAGCGAGGGATGTGCCAGCAGTTCTGCCTGCCCTCCCATACCGTGGACCCCTCGGAATGGGCTGAGGAGGAGGTGAGCTGCCTCTGGTGAGGGCTCCTCACACAGACGCCAGAGGGCCCGGGAGCTACTTAGGACCTGGGCTGACAGCAAAGGGGCTGCCTAGATGCCTAAAGGCCATGCTCACCTTTCAGCCTTGTGACCTCGTCACATCCTTAACAGTTTTGCTTATTTCGCATCATTGATATACCTACTTTTGTTAATTTTTCTATTCCAAAGTAAGCCAGTAGCCTAGGATACTTTGAGACAGCCATGCTCAAATAAAAAACCCTGAAGGTTAGAGGGCTTTACATCTGTGAGATTTTTTAAAAGAAACTGATGCGCTTCAATTAAACAGACCTGGGTTGGCGAATGAGGAGCAGAGATGAGATCAGTGCTCCTCGACATACTTCCTTTTCCCAGATAATTGTACCGTCTGAATGCGTGAAGTCCTCTTTTTTTTTCCTGTTCTTCCCCTTTAGCTTGGCTTTGATCTGGACCGAGAGGTTTACCCTCTAGTGGTACACGCTGTGGTGGATGAAGGAGACGGTAAGGGTGATTTTCTCTGCTTTTGCTGTGCACACTGCCCTTTTGTGGCATAGCCCTGGCAGCAGCCGGGACCGCAGAACAACCCGAGAGTAACCCCCCCAAGAACAACCCTTTGTGGGTCAGTCGGGCCGTTTCTACATCCTCTCCCACCTGTGATCTCCTTGGGCTGATGTGAAAAGTGTGGGTTATGTAACATGCCCCTTCTGGGGACAGGCTGGCACATTTGGTTTGCCAGGTTGCGGGGGCTGGGGAAGGCAGTGGGCATACAGGTGTGTTGTTTGGCTTTCTTCATCCATGTGCCTTTGTCTCTTTCAGAATATTTTGGCCATTGCCATGTGCTGCTGGGTACTTTTGAAAAGGTAAATAACCTTAGAGGGCCTCACTTTGTCACGTTCCACCCTTTGATTCACGTGGGGACACGCGTGACCATGGTTTGCTGGTTGCCTGAGCTCAGCAGAATGGGCTGGCCTGAGTGGCTGTGGTGGTGTCGAAAGAGCGTCACAGTCACATTGGGGGCTACGCTTGGGTCTCAGTCCAGCTCTGCCACCAACTTGCTGCATGACCTTTGACTGCTTAGGCCTCGGTCTCCTCTTCTTTTTTTTTTTTTTATTTTATTATTTTTTTTTTATTTCAGCATATTATGGGGTCTCCTCTTCTTAAAATGAAAGAGTTGGACTGGATAACTTGATAACTAAGAATTAGAATTCTTTAGTTCCACTCTGTGAGAGTCCAAAAACATGCATACAGTAGTCCCCCTTATCTGTGGGGCATATGTTCCAGGACCCCAGTGGATAGTATGGAACCCTGTGTAGGCTATGGTTTTTCCTATACAACATGCATACCTATGATAAAGTTTAACTTATAAATTAGGCACAGTAAGAGATTAACAACAGTAACTAATAATAAACTAGAACAATTATAACAATATACTATAATGAAAGTTACGTGACTGTAGTCTCTCTCTCTCTCTGTCTTAAAATATCTTATTGTGGTAATATTTTCGGACCGTGGTTGACTGTGGGTAACTGAAACCGTGGGAAGCCAGACTGCAGCTGGGGGGAGACTGCTGTAATTGAGAGAAGTAACAAAAGGGTACCTGGTACTTTATTACCTTCCTTCCTTGTCATAGCTATTGTATTTTCATTCCAGCACACAGACGGAACTTTCTGTGTCAAGCCCCTCAAACAGAAACAAGTAGTAAGTATTTGAGGACTGCGAACTGTTAGTCTGTCAGTGTCCTCCTTTCTCCCTCCTTCCCCCCTTCCTCCTTCCTCCTTCTCTGCTTCCCTCCTCCCTTTCCTTCTCCTCCCTTCCCCTTCCTCTCTCTCTCTGTCTCTCTCTCCCTCTCCCCCTCTTCTTTTCCTTTTTTTTTTTTAAACTCTTTTGCTAAGTCTCTTCTTTTCCTCCACCCCTTTCTTTTTTTAATCAAAGAAGAAAAGAAAAAAGGGAATGCTTTTGAGTGTCAGAAACTATTACGAGCTACATGGGTGGCCTGAAAGGAATACTGATTTTTGGTGTCTCGATTGTTCCAGAAGTATTGGTGTTGAGGCAGCTGTTATTTGAGCAAAGGACTTGAGAAGTGAAAGGATAAGATTTAGCTTCTGACATTGGGTTTAGGGAGAACTCTTTTTATTTAAAATGTCAGGGTGAGAAACGTTTCAACAAAAGGATAAAGTATTGAAGGTCCAACTCAGGGTAATTAGAGCCCTTGAATTAATTTTTGCACCATTCCTTTTCTAAAATGATGTGAAAATTCATATTTGCTGGCCATCCTCCCCCTTCCAGAATGATCAGCACCTTATTCACATGTCTGCTAGAAGTCCCAACTCCCACCATGTGCCAGCAGTTTTCTTTCCACTCTTACAGAAATAGTAGGAGATATCATGGAGGGGGAGGGGAGAGTGAGGCCAGCGGCAGTGGCAAGGGAGAGTGGGTGAGGGGTAATTCATCTCATGGAGGGTGTGGAGCAATTGGGTGGGAGGCAAGGTTGCCTTTTGTTGAGATGCAAAGAAAGGCCCCCCTTCTAGATGGGTGATAAATATCTGAAATTCTACATTATTCATTCTTTTAGGTTAAGTACTCACCCCTCTTTTAATGAGGTCGCTAGTAGTCATTAATGCCTTAGTATAAATTAGTCGATAATGTCCTTTCCAGTATAATCACTAGGTGAAAACAAGTTTTAAGAGAAGCAGAGGAGGAAACAGATCCTGAGCCCAAGGTACTACCTGGGCAGGCCAGGCCTTGGTGAGTTGCCTCATGGGGGATACCTAGTTCTCCAGGAGGCCTGGGTAGGATGGAGAGGCTAGTGTAGCTAAAGGAAGATGTCTTATCTATTTTTCTGTTGCTAGATTGGCATTAGCAACAAACTGTCAAACTGGAGAGTGGGATATAAAATGAGAGACAGAAGGGATTGCTGGGAACAGAGGCGAGGCAGAAGAGAGGAGTAGGCTCCTAAAAGGAAACAAGGGCAGGGCCACCTTAAGCACTGACGGGGCTCAGGCTGGTGGGAGTGGGATGGGCATTGGCACTTGGGGTTTTACGGAACCGGGCCAAGAGGGGTAATTCTGCTGCACGTCGGGGATGGAGTGGCTTCATGGGGGTGCACACTATCAGCCCCTCCTTCAAGGTCTTGCTCTCTCCCTTTCCATCTATAATCCTCCCCTTTTTCCTTGCCCATTTCTTCTTCTCCTTATTTCTTTTTTTTCCCATTCCTTTATTTCTATAATGTCTGAACTTAAATTTTATTACATAGCCGATGCTTATGTTTTGATACATACTCTTCCATCCTTTTTCTAGTCTATGCCTTTAACTGCCCATAATAGTAAGATGCAGTACAAGTATTATTGTTGCATTTGCGAAATTTTATGTTCCCTGTTGTATAACATGGTGGGTGAATTAAACATTTGATTTTCTTTCCCCTCTCAAAGAAAAAACATAAGTAAATAAAAGCATCCTTTACTTGTCTAGGCCTTTGATTTTTTTCATTGTGAATCAGTAGTCCTTGGTTACCAAAGGAGTTGGGGGCGGGGGGTCCCACTCTTGTCTCTCAGTAGAGTCAGGCTGTCCTTGAACTTTTCCATTTGCTGTTCAGGTAGATGGGGTCAGCTACCTCCTTCAGGAGATCTACGGAATTGAAAACAAGTACAACACACAAGATTCTAAGGCAAGTTTTATCCAAAATTCTGAATGTACTCTTCCCAAGAGGCAGAGGGAGAAATTCTCTGATAAAGCCAGGATCTAGGAATTTAAGGAACCAAACTCTGGAAGCAGTTATGTCCTGGAAGGACATTGTTCCTCGTTTCAGATTATTGTGCTGGTATCACTTGGAAATGAGGAAACAGGCTGGTTGGATTTGTTCTTGTGCTGCGGAGCTCTGTCCAACTGGGTTTCCTAGCAGGGTCCTCTCCTTGCCCTTTCTCCTGTATCCGTGTGGCCTCATAGGTCCCTTCAGTTTATGCTGCCAGAGAGGACCACGTCTGAGCCTCATAGAAGGAGCTTGAGTTCTTAGTCCCATCTTCTCAGCTTTAGAAAAACTCTTCCCAGAAGCAGTGAGACTAAGTAGGTGAAAACATTGGGTAAACTACAAAGTCCAATGTCAATGTAGATTTTGTCCTTATTGTCTCTTCAGCTCTTCAGCCAACCTGCCTTGTAAACAGTATGGAACACGAAGGGCTTTGTGTCTTTGGCTAAATTTCTGTCTCCCTGGCCAGGTGGCTGAGGACGAAGTGAGCGACAACAGTGCCGAGTGTGTGGTGTGTCTCTCGGACGTCCGGGACACCTTGATTCTGCCCTGTCGCCACCTCTGCCTCTGTAACACCTGCGCAGACACCCTGCGCTACCAGGCCAACAACTGCCCCATCTGCCGACTGCGTAAGCCCCAGAGCAGCAGGGGCACTGGAGGGCGGGAGTGAGGACAGGGGGACACTTACAAAACCCTGAAGCACGTGCCGCTACTGGGGCTGGCAAGCATCTGAGCGCTGGGAGGGATCGCGGTTCTGTCTGGCCTCTTGTTCATCCTTAATCCTGCAGCAGGATGTCCTGATCGCCTGTTTTCCTCCTCATAGCCTTCCGAGCGCTGCTTCAGATCCGAGCCATGAGGAAAAAATTGGGCCCCTTATCCCCAACCAGCTTTAACCCCATCATCTCATCCCAGACATCTGACTCTGAGGAGCATTCAGTAAGTTGTGCTTGGACCCACAGCCCCTCTGAAGCAAATGATCTGTAGAGTCCCTGCTGGCTCTTTTTTACCTTTTGTCCTTCTTTACATGGCATTGCAGCAGGGAATTAAACCTTGGCATGCTGAAGTCTTTAGTGGGCTGGCTGAGGTCACGTTCTGCTAAAACCAACCAATATTACAATGGAAACTTGAATACAGGCCATTAAAGCCTCCCTTTTCCGCCTTGGGAACGTGGTGTCCAGTTAATATTTACCATTCCTGGAGCCATCTGCTTGTAGTTTCGCTCCAGCGGGGCCCACCTCGAACTCCCCCAAGCAGAAACAAGCAGATGATTGTTTTTTATTTAAGTACAGTTTCCTATCTTTATCTGAATCCTTGAGGAAAGTAATTATTTTTCTTTATTCCATTTCATGGCTTCCATGATTGGGAGCTGAGTACACAAAATAACTGACCTCAGTTCCATAGTGGAAGTGTTAGTGTCAGGGTAAAACCTCGAAGCTGTGCAGTGACAGAACAGCAGATACTGTCATTCTTCAGACCAACCCACCCCGGTAGGAGAGATTGCGATTCAGTGGATGGTATTTGGATAATTAGTTAGCTATGTAGGAAGGAAAAATCACTGTAACACTTTACTCCTTACCAGATAACAAATAAATTCCAGCTAGAGTAACTAATTAACTATATTAAAAGCACAGAAACCAAACATTGAAATTTAGAATAAGTTGTAGATGATTGCTTAGTTGACTTTAGTTAGGCAAGGGCTCTAAGCTTGAAAGCAATGAAAAACTACAAAAAAAAGAATCTCTAGATTTTACCATGTAAAAAGTTTAACACTTCAGAAGTCTAAAAGGTGACCAATATTAAAATGAAAACAACAAATTGCTTTTTTTTAAAGAAAACTACTTAGGCCGAACACAGTGGCTCACACCTGTAATCCCAACAGTTCCAGAGGCTAAGGCAGGAGGATTGCTTGAGGCCAGGAGTTCAAGACCAGCCTGGGCAACATAGGAAGACCATGTTTTTATGAAAACTTTAAAAATGAGCTGGGCATGGTAGTGTGGGCCTGTATTCCTAGCTACTCGGGATGCTGAGGTGGGAGGATTGCCTAAGCCCAGGCGTTCAAGGCTGCAGTGAGATATGATGGCATCACTGCTCTCCAGCCTGGATAACAGATCGAGAGCCTGTCTCTTTAAAAAAAAAAAAAGGTATTTACAATGTATATATCAGAGGATAGACTAATATCTTTGCCATAGCTTATATTGAATCAAATAGTAGATAAATGGGCAAAGAATATAAACAAAAAATTCTCAAAAGAGGAAACATAGCTGGTTAATCATTTTCTAAACGTTCAACCACATTAAAAATCAGTGATATGCAAATTAAAATGTGATACCATATTTCACCTTTCCTTTTTAAAGATTCTCTGTGCTGGCAGGGAAATAATCCAAATAGGTATTCTGTATTGCTTATTGAGTATAAACAGAAGATATTGAAAACAAGACAGAACTGATATATATATCAAGAGCCTTAAAAACATTTATACCTCCTAATCTAAGAATTTAATGACAAGAAAATAATCTGAAATAAGATTTATATACAAGGATATTCTTTCAAACATGTTTACAATAGGACATGTTGGACACGACTAAATGCCCAACACTAGTAGAATAGTTAAGAAACTTATGGGATCTCTAAAAAGGGAATAAATATGAAGAGATTTCAAAAACATCAGAGAGGTTGTGCTCAGTGACGCACACCTGTAAAATCCCACAACTTTGGGAGGTCAAGGCAGGAGGATCACTTGAGGCCAGGAGTTCGAGACCGGCCTGGGCAACATAGCATGACCCTGTCTCTAATTTTACAAAAAGAAGAATTTTATGTTCAGTGAAATAAGCAGGATATAAAATTATTATTTATAGATTGATCATAACTGTGTAAACATCACAAAGAAAAAAATTGGAAGAAAATATATCAGAATGCTATTAATAACAAAAATTACTTTGGGTGATTTGATTTTTGGTGATATTTTTTCTCCTTCTACTTTTATGTATTTTCCAAATTTCTTGCAATGAACATATATTTCTATTATAATCAGAAAAAATAGAGATTATTAAGAAAAAGTTTACCTGAAAGCAGAATCTAGCAGGTTCTTTGGTATTTTATCTTTCCTCTGCCTCTAGTAGAGAAGCTTTTCTTCCCAGACCCCCCAGACAAGATGTAAAAGAAAACACTTTTTCATTGTAGAGTCGGGATCATAATCATGCCATAAAACAAAAAGGACTTCATTAATTTCAATCTGTCTCTGATTCCCCTAGTCCTCAGAGAATATCCCACCAGGATATGAAGTGGTGTCTCTTCTGGAGGCCCTCAATGGGCCCCTCACCCCGTCCCCAGCAGTCCCTCCACTTCATGTGCTTGGAGATGGCCACCTCTCAGGAATGCTGCCATCGTATGGTAGCGATGGCCACCTGCCCCCTGCCAGGGCGCTCTCCCCTCTTGACCGCCTGTCTGACTGCAGCAACCAAGGACTCAAGCTCAAAAAGAGTCTCTCCAAGTGAGTAGCCAGCACTCAACGATATCGCCCCCAGGATCCTTGAGGAGACACTTTCAACCTGTCTTTCCCCTCTCTGGGCCCACATCCCAGGGCCCCAGGGCAGAGTAGACCCTCTGAGCTGTTCCCACAGCTGCTTGGTGGGAAGGTTATCCCATCCTTAAGAGATGAAAATGAGATAGTATGTAGGTACTTAGGAGAATTTGGCTTAGACAAACCTCTTATGTGTTCTCTTTTTCACGAGAAAGGGACAGGGGGATAGGGACGAGGACGTTGAGCACTTGCACAGGGTCATTCAGGCCCCTGGGAGCACTGCTGAGTCCAAAGACTGAGAAACCTTGTGATCCGTACCTCTTAAACACTTAGATCCAACTAGGCACAAACCATGATAGGGCTTCTGTGGCGGAGTAAAGGAGGGTATTTTACAGATGAAAATATTGAGACCCTAAAAATGTCAATGGTTTTTCCCAAATTCCCACAGCAATTCACTGAAGGAGCTAAGGATAAAACGTCAGTTTCTGATGCCCAGCAGAGGTCTCGGCCCCTCCCTGGTGCCCTTTCCCACTCCCCACTTCTGGCCAGGCGTGGTAGCCTCTAGACCCAGCCACTCAGGAGACTGAAGTGGGAGGATCATTTGAGTCCAGGAGTTTGAGGTCAGCCTGGGCAACATAGCAAGACCCCATCTCAAAAACAAACAAACAAACAAATAAACCAAAAAGATGTAGGTTTCCCCTACAGCTTCCTCTTCACAGCAGTTGTCCTCTTCCTGTGGGGTCTGGGTAGCAAGAGTGCAGGGTAAGTTCTGTTCTTTAAACGGACATTGGATATAGCTGCTTTTTCCTCTGGACTTTTACAGATCCATTTCCCAAAATTCTTCTGTGTTACATGAAGAGGAGGATGAGCGTTCCTGCAGTGAGTCAGAAACACAGCTTTCTCGGAGACCGTCAGCCCAGCATCTCGGAGAGGTAATTTACGTTCCTCTCCTTTCCTGGGTGTTGGACTCCAGGGACTGTCCTACCTGTATGGCTCTCCAGGTCCCTCTGCTTCCATTCATTCACCAAACACCTTTGCAACATCCTCTGACGTAGCAGCAAAGCTTTCCTTAGATTCATTTATTCAGCGCTGTTTGGAGCCTGTATTATTTCCCAGGCACTGTCCCATATGCTGAGAGTCATAGCAGTAGGAAGCTACAAAAGTCCCTGCCCTCATGGAGCTTGTATTTTTGCTATAGGGGTGGGAGTGGACGCAAAAGACGATAAGTAAAAAAACGTATGTGTGTCAGATGGTGCTGTGCAGCAGAACAGGGGAAGGGAGTGTGGAGGCTAGAAGTGGGGGCGCCATTTTTAAAAACTGGTGCAGGAGCAGAGACCAAGGGAGGTGAGAGGGTGAGCTGTACAGACGTATGAGCAGAGAGGCTCTGGGCCTGCAGACAGTGAGTGAAAGCCCTGGGGGAGGTGCTGGGAGGCCAGTGTGGTGGAGTGGAAGGAGACTGGAATTTTCTACCCTCACATACTTTACTTAACAGAGGTTTATTACTCACCTACTCTCTGTAGGGCAGGAGCTAGGCACAGCGGGGCATAGGAAGCTAATAAAGTGGCCCCTGGCCTTAGGAGCTCAGGTCTAGCTGGGACAGAAAATGTGCATGAAGAGCAGCACCATGCCTGACATGTTGCTGTTGCTCAGTAAGTATTTGTTGAATGGAGAAATAAATGAATTTTAAGTATAGAAAGAAGTGTGCCCAAAACAAGGACAATAAAGTGCTGTGGCAGAGATGGACAAGATTATTGTAAGTGGAGGCAGTCGGAAAAAGTGTTATAAGGAGTAGCATTTGAGCTGAATCTTGAAATTTTTTAGACATGAAGAGAAAGGTGAGAGAAACATCCAGGTGGAGGGGACAGTGCACCAAAGGCCAGGCCAGAAGTCGGGCTTGGAGCAGGCCGGGGATACAGTGAGGGCCCTGCTTCCTGAGGCCCCCTGAGAGCAGTGTCTAGACTAGACAGGAGACAGACCAGCTAGCAAATGGCTTCAGTAACCCAGGCTAGAGGGAATGCCTGAACTAACCAAAAGGGGGCCACCTGGAGGGAGGAGGATTATGGAGATACAGTCAGTGGAGCTTTGCGTCTGCCAGCGCGTGAGGCTGTGTGCCAAGGACCTCAGCAGTGGAGGTCGGGATCAGAGGTGGGGGAGCAGCAGGCGTGAGCCGAGGCAGAGTTTGTTTTATTAATAGATGATGGAGCTGGAACTAACTTGGTGTCCACATGGAGAGTTCCCGCAGGCAGTGAGGCCTCTGCTGGTTTTGTATTCTTTTTCCTCAGAAGGAAAGCTGATCATAATCCTGGGGAAACCTGGGGTGTCCCCATGTCACAGCTGCTGGGTGACCTGTGTCACCTGAGCTGCAGTCTTTGTACTGCTCTGGCAGATGCTGTGCCTCAGGCAGGAGGTGCTGACTGAAGTTGGTGCCTCCCCTGGGAGACGGTCATTCCAGGCCTGGGCTGAGAAGCAAGGACAGAAGAGAAGCCGCAGCCTCTGCATGCCACATAGTCCCTCCCAGTGTCCCTTTTCCTCTCATCTCTACCCAGACCCACCCCTCCGCCCTAACCCCTTTCCTCCAGCACGGTTGGCTTGTGCTTATTCTGTGTCCCCTTGCGTCCCGCCTCCCCAGGAATGTGGTGTGACTCCAGAAAGTGAGAATCTCACCTTGTCATCATCAGGAGCTATTGACCAGTCGTCTTGCACGGGGACGCCCCTCTCGTCCACAATCTCCTCCCCAGAAGGTACATGAGATAGCAGGGAGCGGCTGCCTGTCCTTTCCCCTTAACCCGTCTGCAGCTGTCCTGGCATTTCCTCTGGGAATGGACTTGGGAGCAGCAAGCTAGTGCCTGAGGTGCATGACTATATAGGCTCAGCTCGAGAGGGAAGGGGCCTTGCTCTCCTATAACAGAGGAAGGGTGGGACAGGGCTTGCCTGTCGCTAGGGGAGAACCAGTTCTCTTAGTCCCAGCCCTGCCATCATGAGGTTTCCTTTAACATTATGACAGGAGAAAGCAAATCCCTGGTCCCTGAGATTGAGTTCTGAGCTCCAAAATATAAAGGAAGAGAATCTTGGAAAACCTTAAACCTAAAACCTGTTTTAGGGAAGGGCAAGATGTACTTCTCTCTGCCTGAGCACAGGCGAGAGCTCTGCTCCCCAGGAACTGTGCAGAAGCTCTGCCTGACCTCCAGGCCCCGTCCTCCACCCCTGTCTCCAAAGGCCCTGCCAGCAGCAGTCTGGCCCAGTCTGTCATGTCCATGGCGTCCTCCCAGATCAGCACCGACACCGTCTCCTCCATGTCCGGCTCCTACATCGCCCCCGGCACTGAAGAGGAGGGAGAGGCTCTCCCTTCCCCCCGGGCTGCCAGCAGGGCCCCCTCAGAAGAAGGAGAGGTAAGGGAAGGGCACGGGGACCACCTGGCTTCTCTGTGCCTTGTGCCATGTCCAGAGTGATCAAAGGTCCGCCGGGCTGGGCTGTGTAGCCCCGCAGGGTGCTGGAAGGAGTGCTGTGCAAAACAGGGCCGTGCCTCAGATCGGACTCGTCTACCTGGCACCGATTCTGTACTGAAGACGACGTGGGTTTGGGTTTGCTGTCATTGAGAGCTTGATAGGAGAGTCTGTAAAAACTGTGCCCTTGGACTCTGTTGCTCTTCTGCAGGGGCCGCCAGCAGAGTCTCCAGATAGCGACTTTGCTGTCCTCCCAGCCGGAGAGCAGGATGCAGAGGTAACCCTGAGAGCAGCGCCCTCCCTCAGCCAGAGCAACCGCTGGCCTAGGCTGGGGATGCCAGCGAGGACAGGGCGGAGGCTGTGCGGAGAGAGCCTTCCTGGGCGGCGGGCCTGGATCGGTTAGAAGTGGATGGTGGGTAGAGATAAGAGCAGCCGCACTCTGGCCTGGGGCCGTCCAGTGAGCAGGGGCATGGGCTCCAGTGTGGTGGGTGTGGAGTGGGTTCAAGGGGGAACTTTTCCTGCCAGACCCTGGACCTTGAGAATGTGTCATCCTTTATCCATCTAGTGAGTGTTTACACAGGGGGACTATGTCTCAGCTGCTCGCTGGCACTGGGGCCCAGACAGAGCTGAGTACGAGGTTTCTGCCTGACCCCACCCATTGTGCCCAAACAGGAGCCCCGTCCAGCAGGCAGACAGGACCACAGTTCATGTGAGAAGTGCCCTGACCGTGGTGTACGTGGAGTGTCAGGGAGCGCCAGCTCACAGCGAGGGCTCTAGAACTTTCCTTGGACCAGATGCTCTCAAAGTAGCATCTGGGTAGAGTTTGGGCCCCTAAGGGATTTCTGAAAGTCTTTTAATCTCAAGACTTGCTTTTTTACTTAATAACTTTTATCTTGGCCTTAGAGAAACCATATCAGCTAAGCTATTAACAAGGGTGTTCCTGACAGCCGTATGCTGGTATGTGGCTCAGACTTCACCCCTGCAGGCTCTGGTGCCCCACCCAGCCGGTCTGCCTCTGCTCTGCCTCCTGGGCATGTCACACATGGTGGGAAATGTGTGCTATTGACGTAGGCCCTGGAGTTCCATACCATTAGGATGATTAGCTCTGTTTTAGCCGATCGATTTACTCGTTTTGCTGCTGGATAGACTCATGGGGCCTTCCTTCTGTCCTAGGGAAACGATGTCATAGAGGAAGAGGATGGATCACCCACACAAGAAGATGGTAAAAGACCTGGTCCTTTGCTCCCTTTTATTATGTTTCTTTCCTGGGTATTCTTTAAAAGGTAGAGAAAGAGGTGCCTGTATGACTCGGTGGCACTGCCCAGTTATTGTGTGGCTGTTGGGGGACAGGTTGTCTTCTTGATAGCATAGCAAAGCACGCAGGCTACTGATGACCTCAGTGACCTTCTCAGCTCTTTCTAGGACGCGGAGCCAAGGACATCAGGGCGAGGGTGCTGCAGAAGACACATGTAGCTCTGCGTTTACCTTGAGTGGGTTCTGAAGCCTTCTGGGCAGTCCCATCGCCAGCCCTCCTGCTGCAGGTTCCCACCTGAGTCCCGCAGAGATGCCACAGCAGCTCAGATGTTGAGCAGCAGTGGCAATGTCTTCATAGGGGAGGAAGGACCATTTGGCAGCTGGTCAGGTTTTGCTCTAATGAGGAAACTGGTCCACATTCCTGTAAAAGAGGGCTCTGGGGAGCCAGCAGGCACGTCCAAGGAACTAGATCCAAGTCTCTTCAGCAGCTCAGCTTACTCCAGTATTTTGTAGGCTACGTGATGGTTTTCCTTACCGCACTCCAGGCCTCAGCTATACCTTCAGCTGAAGAATTTTATTTCCAGTCAGGCTAGAAGAGAAGGAGTGGTCTGCAGAGCAGGGAAGCAGGAGGAAGAAGGGGGGCAGGAGAGTCACCCTGCGCAGGGAACACCATGTGTTCCTGGCGCCTGACTCTTCCCTCTGCTGCTCTGAGGCGCCTCCCACAGGGGCACCTCCAGAGCACACGTGTGCCCCAGCGTGGACGCAGACGTGCCAGCAGATGTCATCCAAGTTGCTTCTGCTTTAGCGCCGGCCATTGCTTGGGGCGTGTCAGGAGGTGCATGCAGGCTTGACGGCTCCTGCCTGGCCAAGGAGCCTGAGGAGAGGTGGCTACCAGGGGTGGCTCCTCAGCTCCCACGCACCAGCCCGGGAGGGTTTGGAGCTTCACCGACTCGGCCGATGGTTTCCGTGCTCAAGGCTCCAGAGTTGCCCTCTGCGATTGTTTCCCCCATAAAAACATTTGCTTCTAAAAGTTCTGTGTGACCAGGTTGTGTCACCTGCCATTCCCTAGCCCACATGGTAGATTTATGTTTTCTTCTCTCCTTTTCACCAAGAAAAAAAGAGGGGAACTTGAAAAAATCACTTCTAAAACTTTTCCCTTCCCCTCTTACATGTCTGTAGATTTCTGGTCAGTCACTTAAAACATACTCAAAATAACAACTCAGGTTTCAAAGGAAATTAAGTCATAATTTTGTGAATGTGGTCATTCTGACTGATAAGCAAAATTATGGAACCTAAGACCTTCAGTTGTTATTTTATGTACTTACATTGTAGAGACTTGTGGTCCTAAACACCCAACTCACGCCCGAGGCAGACACAGGCATGAGCAGGGTGAGCAGGGTGACTCCTCCCTGGCCTTCTCCAGCTTGTGCCAGCCTGGCCTCTGCCCAGCGCTGCTCTCTGCGGGGTTCTCAGTGGATCCTGTGTCCTGCAGTGTCCTCAGCGATCTGACTTGTTAGGGGACAGCAGATCAAAAGGTGCCAGTTAGAGAAACAGAACAGGAGAGCTCGAGAACACAGACATGCCCACGCAATTTGACTCCCTTTTTGTCCACTCTTTACCCACTTAATTATTGTCTTCTTTTTTTTTTAACATACGATTTGATTTTTTTTGTCTCCATCCTTAAGACTTTTATTTTAAGGACAGAAAAGCGAGAAAAACACAGCCAATCCCTCTCTAACTGCATTAACTCCGTTACAGGCCAAAGGACATGCGCATTTCTAGGTATGGAGTGTGACAATAACAATGACTTTGACATCGCAAGCGTGAAAGCACTGGACAATAAGCTGTGCTCTGAGGTCTGCTTACCCGGTGAGTGGCAGTCTGCTGAACATGAACTTGGTGGGAGACAATCCCTCTGCTCTTACCCCTGCTCTTACCCTGATACACCCATCTCCTGCCCTGCAGTTCTTGCCAAAAAGGTCCGGGGTGTGCTAAGTGCTGGAGACCAGTTGCTGAAAGGAAATGAGAAGGCCTTGGGAGAGTCCTTGAGCTTTTTGCAGAGAGCAACCCTTGCTCTGAGTGAGAATATTAGGATGGGAAGAAAGTAGCAAAACTTCCTCTCCTTATGATTTGGCCTGATCTTGAACCCCTGCCATCTCAATCTTGCTGATACTGTATCAGGTGCCTGGTCTCATTTTCATCAACAGGAAGTTTGAGCAGATGAAACACCACCTCTGTACGAAAGTCTTGGAAAGATGGCCTGAGCCCTTTAAAAGTGACACCATAACTCCTTAGAAGAAACATGTTTCAGTTAGGATCAGAGAGGAATGTAAAAGCCAGCATTTCATAGGCGAGGAAATGGCCCTGTGATCCAGTGAGCTTTGGGTTACCATGTGCATTGTACATGCTAGATTTGGGTCCCAAAGGAGAGGTCTGGGCCCAGGGTGACTGTGCTCCCTGGAGTCCCACCTTTAAATTTGATCAGCTTGTCAGTGTGCCTCTTGTTCCTTCTTGTGGTACTAAACTGAATCTAGGATAATTCCTTATAAAGGAGCCATGTTAATCACACTTTGAGCACTGACCTCCTCCTACTCCATGTGCTCATTCAAGGGCTCCAAGAACCATTTTTCTAAAAGCCAAGTCTTGCCCAAGTGGACTCAGTCAAATGTCCCCTCCTAGTTTCACTGCAGAGATTGTCCCTCACATTGTACTGACTGTAATCCTCTTAAACATTCCCTGAATAAAGACTGACGTCAGCTTCAGAACAGCCACATCATGGGTCCAGTGCTTTACTCGCTCAGCGACGTGGCTGAAGGTGTTGGAGCCACGTGACCTCCGGTGGTTGCCACTCTCCATCAGCCTGTGCGAGACACGGTCCCAGCACGCTCTGGCCCCACACAAGCTTGTGGCAGGGGAAGCCGGAGTTCTCAGGAGACACTTTCTCCAGCCTTTCAAAGGGCTCTTAAGTTATTTTCCCTTCGGTTTTTCCTGAAGATACTGCCCAGGTCTCTTAATCTTCAGTGAGGCCAAAAGAGGCAGTATCGGTTCACCTGCTTCTCCTGCACAGGCCCAGGAAAGACCCTATTCCTGCCTGAGCATGGAGGAGGGAGTGTTGACCATGTGGCTAGCCTGACCATTTAGGCCTGGACTGGAGCTGCTGGGCCCAGGGTCCACGTCACTCCCTGCCTTCCCACTCCTGACCTTGCTTCTGTCTGTCCGTTTGTGTTTCACGTCATTTTGTCAAATGTAAATCTGTCTGTCTGATCTGTTTATTTTTTAAACTCATTTATGTTATCTAGACTTAGTATGAAAGTTCACGTTCACTCTGTGCCAACACTGTCCTCCCTGCCTCTGCTTAGCCCGACACCAAGCTTGCTGGGCGTGCACACACATGGGAGGCTCTTGCTTAGGGCTGAAAGCAAGGTTTTCCTTTAGAATGGGCAAGGTCCTGTATTGAATATATAAAGATTTTCTAAGAAAAATATTTGTGAGACTATATTAATTTCTGTTCAACAAAAATGGGGATGTTTCTGTGGCAAGGATGGTAGAAAGGATTTGTCTTTAACTGGCATCCTTGGTCAATAGTTGGGTAAAGAGGATATCTCTGCCCTAGCTCTGCTCTGTATCTGTGGCAGCTCTACACTGGCTATCCTCTCCCTGGGCTCCAGGACAGAAATCTAGGTCCCTGCCTCCCTCAAGGGGCTCCCCAACTCACCCCTATTTTTTGGCAGAGGGAGCTGCTGGGAATTGTTTTAGCTAACAGTGCTGGTAGAAATTGAGCTTATTCCTTCTACTTCCTCCTCTTCCTAACTCCCTCTGGCCAGCCTTCTTGCTGATGTTTATTCTGCTCAGGGGATTATGGGAGGGGAGTGGGATTGGAAGAAAGCAGCCCTGGGGTTCATTCATTGTGGTGATTTCTGGAGCCAGCTGTTCTGAGATGATACTGGGTTCACAGTTTGGGCCAGACATGCAATCAAATGCTGTGACAGCCGTGGGGACAGGGAGGGACTCAGGTATCAGCACTTCAAGTGTCCACTGTATCCTCACTAGAGGTCTCAAGACCTCTGGTTCCCCCTTTACCCAAGAGGGGAAAGTGTATCTGCTCACTGGGCAAAATCTGCGTTCAGATTTCCACCCTACGATGGAGACGCCCACAGGCTGGCTTGGCTCCCCACTCCTCTCTCCGTCGGGACAGCTGCTCATGCACCTAGCCTCTGCTTGAGTGCGTTTCTCTCTCCAAGTGGGTGCCACTCCCTTCTTGGAGGGCTAATGGGAAGCAGAGCCCTGCACAGGGAGAGCACAGGATGCTCCCATGTGCTCTGCCAGGAGACCCAGCTGGTGGCGAGGACTGAGAAACATGGTAGTCCCCGTCCTCACCACTCTAGACACACCTGTGAGAGGCTTAGCGGTGCCTGTGTCATTCCAGTCCCCTTCGCCCTGCGAAGCTTCTGGGTCTTTCTGGGCCACAAGACCAAGTGGAGATTTCTGGTTCTTCACTTGCAGGGGGGAGGTGTGTTCTGAGATTGCTTCTGAAAGGTTCTGGAAGGGGGAGAGCTCAGTGGATGGATGTGTCAGGTAGCGGTAAGATTAGAATGGCGAGACCACACTAAGTAGAGGTGACACCAAGGAATTCAGTGGATAATTACACAAGTGGCAGGATGGTGATCAAGGTGAGTGATGGTTCTGTGAGAGGCTCTGAGTAGTGTATGTGATGGAAAAAGGCAAATAATTTGGGTCTTTTTAGTGGAAATACAAATACAATTTTTAAATGACTATTATTTTACAGGAGTGGGCATATCCAATTAAATCTAAAAATACTTACAGAAGCCTGAAATTCAGTCCCCACCTCTCTTTGAGCCTCGTAACCCAAGACCAAGATGCCGCTAGGAAAGTTTGCACTTCATGGATGCTAAGGAAAAATTCAAATTAAGTTTTTCTTTCCCCTGCAGAGAAAAACTCACAAAGACAACTGAATTACTACAGTCCTTAAATTTAATTAATGGCTTAGTAGAGGCAGGAAAGAGGCAAAATTTCCCTAAATGTGCTCTCAAAATCTACCTCTAGAGGTCACTTCACTCTCCCATTTCTAAGTCCTCAAAACAGTAATTGAATGGAAAGCACCTTTATCCATCTCCCTCCAAGGATTTTAAATCTCTGAGCTCCATTTTCTGGCCGGAGGGTCCTGGGTTCAGCCAGACAAAATGGTGGCACTTGCTGCAGAAAGAAGGCTTCCTCTGCGTCCCAGACTCACTGCCTGTAGTTGACCCCTGTCTGGATGAGGCCGAAGGGAGAGCAGCCCCCCAGGGCTTTGCTGTGGGCCCTTCAGAGTCCTTTCCAGGGGAAAGGGTGCTTCATTCTTGCTGCAAATCTCCCCTCACCACAGAGTGTACGAAGAAGCCAGGGAGAGCCAGGCGCAGTGGCTCACGCCTGTAATCCTAGCACTCTGGGAGACTGAGGCGGGAGGATCACTTGAGCTCAGGAGTTTGAGACCAGCCTCACACCATGTCTCTGCAAAAAATAGAAAAATTAGCTGGGCATCATGGCGCCTGCCTGTAGTCCCAGCTACTTGGGAGGCCGAGGCAGGAGGATTGCTTGAGCCCAAGAGTTGGAGGTTGCAGTGAGCTATGACGAAGCCATTGCACCCTACCCAGGGCAACAGAGGGAGACTCTGCCCCCCAAAAAAGAGGAAATTGAACCCCTGTCCTCACTACCTCCTGCTTCAAAAAAATGAAGAAGCCAGAGAGAACAGAAACTTCAGATTTGAGGGGGATTGAGTCTCTTCCACAAGGAACGGATTTTCAGCCCTGGCTAAGGCTTCTGGAATGGTAGAGTTTGTAGCAAGGACCCCTGTGAATTCAGAGTCAGGAAGTCTCTCTGGGCAGCCTCTCGGTCCCAGCAATTCATGGTGTGCTGGTGGTGGTGGCGGTGGCGGCAGTCGTGGTGGTGGTGGCGGTGGTGGTGTTGCTGCTGTTGTGTGTGTGTGTGTGTATGTGTGTGTGTATCTTCTCTCTTGTTTACCATTTGCTTTTGGTCTTTCTTACTGAACAGCCGCAGTTCCGGAGTCCTGCCCCATAAACATTGAGGAATAGGTATGAGATCTACCAAATTATATAAATGAACGAACAGCCCATTTTCTTTGGGGTTCCTAACTTAAAAGGCAATATTGCCTTACATTCATCTTGCCACATTTAGAGGGGAAGAAGCACCTTTGAGTCATGTCCCAGGCTCTAGTGCCCCCAGGGAGTAAAGATCCCAAATCCAGTTGGGATATGAGAGAGAGGTGTCCAAGATTCTCCTGTTCTACTCACTTCTCTCCCCCTGGGGTCCACCACCATAGACTATTAGGAGACCATCAGGATGGATTTTCACACCATAGTGGGAAATGAGCAGTTTAGACCTGCTTACCCCTGGTGCCGTTAAAAGTTTCGTGTCCTGGACTGGCCTGAGGTAGACCCTGCACACCTGCGAGTGGCCTCCCTCAACCTCAGGACCACACTCTACAGTTGGTCGGCCCTGTCCACTGAACGAGTCCCCTGATGGGTCAGGCTCTGTGCCAGGCTCTGGTGTGCAACAGTGAAGAAGTCACCACCTCTGCCCCGGAGGAGCTTACAGTCTAACGGAGGATTCAAGGGTTCAGCGGTTTTTGCAGCGTGGGGAGTGGAGTGGTCGTTCAGGCTGTGGGGAGCACGCAGGGCACGTAGGGCCTCCTCTGGTCCTGAGGTGCCTTGGAGGGGAGGACACTGGGAGACAAAGTTCCGGAGGCCCAGGGGGACCAGAGGAGGAAATGCCTTCCCTCACCCCAGGGAGCCAGGGCTTCATCCCCAGGACAGAGGTGGTTGAGGCCCTACCTTCCCTCAGGAGGGGGAGGTGCGGGGAAGAGATGAGGGTGGCCTGAATAAAGGACACAGGTGCGTACCGAGCACAGGCTGTCCTGGAGCCAGGTGCTCTGCCAGCACTCTCCTGTGATCTGCTTTGGTCCTCACAGCAAGCCTGTGAGCCAAGTACTTCTCTGCCATTCAGCGGATGAGAAGACCAAGGCTCAAAGTAGAGTGATGTGCGCAATATCACTGTCGGTTCATTGTAAACTGGGAGTGAAGCTCAGGTCGGTGTGACTACAGATTTAGTCACATGACTAAGCAGGGTGCAAACAGGAGGTGGTGGTGGGTTGGATACAGAGCACAAAGGAGGGAGAAGCACCAAGAATGGGTTTCTAGACGGGCAGCTGCTGCTCGTCACACAGGGTGGCAGCAGATTTGTGGCAGGAGGATGAGTTTAGCGGTGGTACCTGTGGGACTCAAGGCTCTCGGCCTAGTGTCACCTGGGCTGATGGCACCAGCTGATAGCAAGCTGCTGCTGCTGCTCAGGTGCAGGGGGAGATGAAGAGCAGCAGGTGTGGGGGAGGGGTGCTAGAGACTCACGCTGTCCTCCCACAGGATGCCATTCTGTCCCAGACACCCTGCCGGGCAGCCAGCCTCTTCCTGCCCCACCTTGGCTTCCACAGAAAACATTAACACTTTGGGCCTGAACAAACCTACTCTCCTCTCCCCTGCCCTTCATCCTGCCCTGGCGAAAACAGCTCAGCTAGGCCCTGTTTCCATGTCCTTGTCCGTGTCCATCATCACATACAGGCACACTTCATACCCAGTAATTAAGGTGCAAAAGTGGAGCCTAGGGCAAGTTCACAAAACAAGGAACAGCTTTTGTGTCCTCTGTCCGGGAGCCACAGCGGCAGTGACAGTACGCAGCCCCTGCACCGTCGTGCCTGCTTCTCTCCATTCTTTCTCCTGTGCTGTGGCTTACGCCCTTATAGGAGTTTCAGGTCCCACGCAACCTGCTGGCTTCCTGGGCTGCCCTGCTGGAGACATCGTCTAGACCTGGCCAAAGCTCCAGCTCCTGTAACCTTCACTTTCTCTTCCCCAGGTACCTGGCAGGCTGATGACAACGTTGTCAGTCGTCGCAACGCCCAGCACCGGCGCCTGTCATCCAGCAGCCTGGAGGACCCCGAGAATAGGCCCTGTGTGTGGGGTCCTTTGGCTGTCTGAGAGCCCCAGCCGCTGTACCGGGCTCTCATCCAGTCCTCACGTTCCCTCTGTCCTCACCGGGCTGCGGGCCTCCTGGACATCCTCACCAAGACACGTGTAGACTTTTTATACTCATGCAAAAGCTGGACGTTGAGTTCAGCCCGCTCCTCCCAACCTCGCCTCCTGTATCTGTGGTCCTTCCCCTCTCAGAAGGGACTGGAAGCCCTCCTTTCCTTTCTCCTTGTGGACTGAAGCCAATCGATGAACTGCAGCTCATGAGACCCTTTGCAGAGACTCTCTGGAATGTTCCCGCTGTATGTTAACGTTCAGGTGGAGCTGAGGTCCACAGGCTAGTTGTTTCTTATGCATCTTCTTTCTCCTTAAGGGTTAAACTGAGAAGACTTGGAGTTTTGGCAGCTGTCGTACAAACATCCATCTGGCATTTTCTGGTCTCTGGCACATCATAACCAACTTGAAACCCCAGTTTGGGGTGGGGTTGGGAGGTGGCTCCTGTGAAAAGGGAGAGCCATATTGCACTATATATGGAGTTTCCCTCCAGAAGCATGAGGAGCTCCTTTCTCAAGGAAAAGAGAAATGGTAGCAACCAAAAGTTGGTTAAAAAAATTCTTCCTCCTAGCTCTCTGGGAGGCCGAGGCGGGCGGATTGTTTGAGCTCAGGAGTTCGAAACCAGCCTGAGCAAGAGCGAGACCCCGTCTCTACTAAAATTAGAAAGAAATTAATTGGACAACTAAAAATATACAGAAAAAATTAGCCGGGCATGGTGGCGCATACCTGTAGTCCCAACTACTCGGGAGGCTAAGGCAGGAGGATCGCTCGAGCCCAGGAGTTTGAGGTTGCTGTGAGCTAGGCTGATACCACGGCACTCTAGCCCGGGCAACACAGTGAGACTCTGTCTCCAAAAAAAAAAAAAATTCTTCCTTCTAGTAGCAGAACTGATCTCCTGTGCTTCATGTGCCTGTCTGCTTGGGGAGGAGCCCTTGAATCTGAGAATCCTGTTAAGACGATTACCCTTAAGGAGAATTTCTCCTGGTCAGGTACATTCAGGAAGGCCTGGAACTCCATCCTAAGGTGACAACTCAAGAAACACATTTGTTGCCCACTTCCATGTTCCAGGCACTGCGTGAGGAGCTGTCGTATGTTGCTGTATTTCATCCTCACCTAGCCCTGGGAGGTGGGATTCTTAACTCCTATTGCCCCCAACTCTGCCCCTTTTTTAATGGTTGAAGAAACAGACTAAGAAAGGTATGGACTAGTGATTCTCAAGCTGGTGCCCGGGACCCCCAAAGGCAGTGGTGGAGAGCACTGGACTCCGTCCAGGCTGCAGCCTGGGGCCAGCAGCCGTGGTCTGGAGGCTGGAGCCTAGGCCTTCACCTCCAGGACGCTCCCCGCCCTTCATGTGTTACTCCCCTGCCTTCCAGATCTGCTGAGCCTAACCGGTGAAGGGGAGGTAGAGCCTTCCACATGCTCGTTAGCGATCGGGAGATATCGTTCCACTCATGTCCCGTCCCCCACCCCTGTGTAAGGCACATAAACAGAACCCTGAAACAGCATGGCTAGACTCTAGGTTGGTGGCTGTTAAACTCCTTTCTCAACACTGGTGTTATCAATGGATTCCACAGGGCTCTTGGATGGATGTGCTGTCTACTGGCTTTTGGAAAAGGTGGTTGTTTAGTAAGGCATGAGATTATTCTGGAAGCAAAGTTAGAAACAACAATGATTTGTAAGGTAGAGACGTGGGAGAGCCTTACAGGCTATGCCCATTGTGGTAGGCTGTTTTAGGATTTGGAACTGTTACCCTGGAAGAGCTTTTCAAGACCATTTCCAAGGCCAGAGCCCAGAGCCCAGAGGGTCGTTTGCACCTTCTGTGTAGCTGCAGAGGCCAGGAGTGTGACGACTGATGGCTGTTGCTGCCTAGTGGTTGTGGCTCACGTCCTGCCCTGGTGGAGGGGAGCCTATCACCCACCCTGTCTGAAATACCGCAGTGGACTCCGCAGGTTCAGGCCTCACCTCATGTCCTTTCCTTCCCCCAACATTCTTACAGCCCCTTTCGTAGTTAAGATTTAAGCCAGTGTAAGTTGAGCAATAACCCCACTTCCTGATTTCCTTAGAGTGTGAGCCCCAGAAGCACAAGGCAACAGGGAACTTCCCTTACTCTGGGGTGGCAGCACACAGAGCCACCTCCTGTCCCCAGCAGGTAGTATTCGCAGTGTGGTGTTACCTGGGAGGATGGGGGAAGGAGCTGAGATGAAGGAAATTCAGGTAAACAGTAGGCGAAGTGGCCAGGACCCCTAAGAGGAAGCTGTTATCTTCACCCCTTCCTGGAGGATGTGTCCTCCCTCCCAGTAAATGCTCAGGCCTCTCCTAGGAAGAGGCTCAGAAGGACTCCTCAAGGCCTCGGTTCCATATCCAAGACATACCTAGGTTAGAAATGCCCTTTGCTCCTGGTCTCTCAGTCCCTAGGTTCCTATTTCCTCTCTCTCTCCCTCTCTCCCCGCTCCTCTTCTCTCTCTCTGTCCTCTGTTCTGATTTAGCTCTTTGACAAGCAGAAATATCCCAGCCCAGGGGGGTCCTCAGTCACCCTGATGAGGGCAGGTCAGCGGCCAACTCTTCCGCCCTAGTCTGTCTAGAGACATCGCATTGTCAGCAGCTCACCCAGAGAGAAGGGATGGGGCCCGACTCCTCCCACGAGGGCACAGACGAACTGTGAAGGCCTGGGGCTCCTTCCTGCCACGCTAGGTCTGTGCTCCCCTTGGCCTTCACGTGGTGTGATCCTGGCCTCCTCACAGTCTTTTTTCCTTCTACTCGGTTCCATCCCGCCAGAGTTTATACCCTCTCTGGGGCAACTCCTGGGCACAGCCCCACATGCTTTAAGCCTTCTCACCTGGGGAGTTAGGATCCTGCCCACCTGGTGTTGGCACTGTGGTTGCTCACTTTGCTTTAGGGTCTGCACACCTGTTGTGTGCATGTGTACAGTGTTTATGCCATCTGGTGTACCCTTCGCTCCCTGGAGTACACTCGTGCGCACACTACAGTGGGGACATCAAGGATGCAATATTTATGGATTGCTGCATGATTCTTAAAAATGAATAAAACTGTTTACAAGGGAAGGAGAACTATTAACTGCAAAGTGGGCTTATGTGTGAAAGTTTCTGTCCGACTTTCTCCCGCACTCTTTAATATTTTTTAGTCAAGAGAATTTAGAGTTGGAGGAGTGGGAGAGGCAAGGGGTAGGGAAAAGTATGTTCCTGGCTGGAAGTTGACATGCCATTGACTGGCTTTCTGCGAGGCCTTTCGGGGCACCAGGCTCCCCAGCCCTGTGCTCCAGCTCCTGGGCATAGGCTGAGCGGCAGCCCAGCCCCCACCTCGGCCTCTGCAACCGCCTTAAACCGGAGAACTTCCAACACTGCAGCTCCTCAATAATTAAAGAGCAGGAAAGCTGGTGACAGGCGGGAGGCCAGAGGAAGGGAGGAGGGAGGGCCACAGTCCCCAGTGCTCCTCTACCTTTAGTCCTTGTCACTTAAAGGTTGGTGAAATTAATGTGGCAAATGACCCCGTTAGGGGAATTTTGTCAAGTCCATGACCTATGAGTTTTACCCAAGGCCTCTGCTTCCTCAGCTATCTGGAAAGGAGGGACTGCACTTCTACAGAAACCTCTGGAAAGTCAGCTTACGGGAACCTGGCTGAGGGTACAGGTGGGGAGGGAGCTGTTTACCGCGAACGCCTGGATTGCCCTCCCCGCCGCGGTGTGTCTGCGATCTGTGTGGCCGCTGCTGTGAACTTGAGCGGCAGGTGGCATCGGAGAGTCAGACCTGCCTGTGGGCACCAAAGACGACACTCAGGGTCGGGAGAGAGGGAAAGGCCGCAGAAGCATGAGAAAGTGCCACTCGCAGTGCAGAAGAAAGAAAACCTCAAGGACATAGTTCCTGAGCCTGAGCTCGCTCCAGCCTTGGTCCCCAAGCCCTGGCTCCGTCAAGGAGCGGTCAGCGCCTCGGAGCAGCCTGGACTGGATGCGGGAGGGGGCGAGAGTGGCCGTTCCCCAAGGTGAAGAAGGGCCGATGGCGGTTCCTGAGGCCTCAGGCCGAGCCGCGCGCTTCTCCGACCCCAGCGCGGGGCCCTAGGGCGGGAATGCGCCGAGCCCGGACGCGGTGGCGGGTAGGGGGTTGGGTGGCGCGGGAGAGGGCGGCAGAAGGAGGGAGTTCGAAGAGAGTTGCCGCCGGAGAGAGTAGCAAGTGCCCGCGGTCGCCTTGGAGACGCGCTGGCCAATGGCAGCAGCGGAAGCTGTTTATGGGGGCGGAGCGTCGCCATGGCAGCAGGAGAAGCCTTTGGAGCCGCTACTTATTGCCGGTCCCCCGGCCGCTGGCGCTCAGAGAAGCGCCGTCGGGCGGGAGGGCGACGAGGGGCGCTGGCGGGGCCCTCGAGCTGGGGGCAGAGAGCTGCGGGAGGTGGGAGGAACTTCTTCCAGAACCTTCCTCGGTCCCGGGCTGCTCTCTGAGCCAGGTAAGGGGCCGGCGGGGTGGGCTACAGGCCTCGGGAAGGGAGGGCGTCGGTACCAGCCCGCTCTCCCATCCGTCCCCGACGAAGGGGTGGGCCCAGGGGCCGACATCTGAGGAATTTGAGGAAAACTCGCTTCCTGCCCCCCCATAACTCTCCGTTCCGTTTCCTTCCTTTCCCTTGACACCCCGCCGCCCCCATCCTAATATCCCTTTTCAAGAATCAGACGACACCCTCCGCCCCCGTCCCTTCGTTCTGCCCTCCCGGACTTCTCGCCCCATTTCCATTTGCTGCGGGGAGGAAGGGGGTCCTGATTTCCTACCCTTCGAGAGAAAGGGATAGACTCGTATGCCCCTACCCTCTTCCCTCTTTTGGCTAATAAAACCTCGAAGAGGAAAGGGAGAGGGGGGCGGATCCGGTGGGTCGGACCCCAGGACATTGCTTCTGTTTCCCAGGCACTAAAAGACCCAGCTGCGGGGACGGTTTTAGAGGAGGTTCGGCCTTACACACACCCTCTCCCCTCGGGGTGGGGTAAGAGCGTTCAGCTCCAGCTGTGGTCCCCGCAGGCACCACATACGTACTCAGAGGAGGCGACCTCGGGGTCGCGAGATGGAAACGCACGTCCAGGAGGCTGTGTAACTGGAGCTGCGGGAGTTGGCGGCCCGGAGAGCACGGCCGGCCACCCCCGGCGCAGCCCGTGGATGGTGCCCGCCCCCTCGGAGAGTCCCCGCAGACATGGCGGAGAGCTGGCTGCGCCTCTCGGGAGCAGGGCCGGCGGAGGAGGCCCGGCCGGAGGGCGGCCTGGAGGAGCCGGACGCCCTGGATGACAGCCTGACCAGCCTGCAGTGGCTGCAGGAATTCTCCATTCTCAACGCCAAGGCCCCCGCCCTGCCCCCGGGGGGCACCGACCCACACGGCTACCACCAGGTGCCTGGCTCCGCGGCGCCCGGGTCCCCCCTGGCGGCCGACCCCGCCTGCCTGG